GGGAGAGGGCGGGGAGGGGGCGGGGAGAGGGGGAGTTCTTAGCATTTGGAAAGTTCTATGTGCACCATTTAATGGATCAGTAAAAGATCTCAGATCCAACACTGCTGATAGACGCAGTCATAGCATCGTCCTGTCTGTGATCAGTCCGGGGTGATGGAGGTCGGCCGGTCGCTCAGCAGGATTGCGAGTCTCGCAGACAATAGGAATGACATTTAATACTCGGCTCACTTCTATTAGAAACTCCGAATATTATATCGCGGCCGGATGCAAGAAAACATCTGACGCCCGAACAGGGACTTGAACCCTGGACCCTCAGATTAAAAGTCTGATGCTCTACCGACTGAGCTATCCGGGCGCTCTGCGAGAGGAGGGGAATGTCCATGTGACATAGACACTGACAGAGCAACATAGCAACAATATCATAACCATGTATGTATAGTACACAGTCATATCATAGCCATGTATGTAGTATACAGTCATATCATAGCCATGTATGTATAGTACACAGTCATATCATAGCCATGTATGTATAATATAAAGTTCTATCAGTTTTGTAGTTGATCAGCTGACAGAAGTGTCTCTGATACTCTCATGTTCCCTGCGAGCCGCCATTTCTTATAACACTCTGCACAGATTATTAACATGTTATAATCAATGAGACACAATCAGAGATCTGCTATAAGTCCATGGATCTGTATATACAGGACACCTCTGTATAGGGATCTGTATATACAGGACACCTCTGTATAGGGATCTGTATATACAGGACACCTCTGTATAGGGATCTGTATATACAGGACACCTCTGTATAGGGATCTGTATATACAGGACACCTCTGTATAGGGATCTGTATATACAGGACACCTCTGTATAGGGATCTATATATACAGGACACCTTTGTATAGGGATCTGTATTAGGGCGATGATGATGTCATAGTCCTCCCAAAGCATTTCTTCGTGGATGGAGAGGTGAGAAAAGAAACTCTTTAATTGTGGCATCGCTGTGATCTGTAGAAGACTTGTGTCCGAGGTGATCCCAGTCGCTGGATGATATAGGAAAAGAAGCCATCGCCCAACGTGGGGCTCGAACCCACGACCCTGAGATTAAGAGTCTCATGCTCTACCGACTGAGCTAGCCGGGCGCTTGTTACAGAGCTCCTCCGGCTCCAACCAGTGGCAGGTCTATCACGTGGACATTGTTGGTTTGCGTTATTACTTGTTTTATTTCACACTTATCACCTTTTCCTGAATGTTGAGTGTAACCCCTTCATAACTCCTTCATGACCAGCGACATACAGTGTACGTCGCTGGCATCGGGGCTGTTTAAAATGACTCCTGGCGGCAAGCTCTGTTTAAACGTGTGAAGGTGACTGTCGATTTATGGACTTTTTGGGGTACTGAAATTTGTCGCACACAATTTGTAACCGGGCATGTGCGGTATCTGTCTACTCGCCGTAACCTCGTCTTCTATCTTTTATTTGAAAAAAATTCGCATTTTATTGCGTTTTAAGTGCATTTTTCACTAAAGTTTAGGTTTGATAAGGAGTTGCGCTAATATCGTGCAACATAAAAATTTGCAACTGCCGCCATTTTACTCTACGGGGTCTCGGCTTTCAGAAAATATATCACGTTTGGGGGGTTTGAAGTAATTTTCAGGCCTAAAATGTGGATTATAACACAGGTGCAAAAAAAGCCCTCAGTCATGAAGGGGTTAATATGAACACAGTGTATCTGTGCCAACTGTAGCAGGAACAACTACACAACAATAACGATAATAACTGGACTTGTATTTTGTTTTCCTGAAGATGTTTCGCTGGCCATCTCACTAGTGTTCTCCATTCAGAAGGAATTCATTCATTTTAAATTGGGAAAGCTGGTCGGATGACCAACGAAACGTCTTCAGGAAAAATACAGCCCGTCCAGCGGCTTTCATTTATTTGTTACAGATATACCTGGAAAGGTAGTCTGGTCACCGTTGTCACATGTTAGAATGTAAACATGCGGCCACCTCTCGAGTATCGGGGGGCACCAAACCAGAAGAAGGGATTTGAGCGCGCACGGCGGTAAGTTATAACTGCTGGAAAAGAAATCATTTCACTTTTTTTTTTAAAGGAGAACTATGAGGTCAGGGCCTTTCCCCATAGTTCTCCTCAGGGTCACGGGAGGACACAAACTAGCGTCCTCCGGTCACCCTAGGCTCAGTATATAGGGAGCTACAGCTCGCGGTATACTGAGACGCCGCAGCTGAAGCGGATCCCGACGTAGATGACGGGATCCGCCCAGCTGCGTGAGTGACAGCTGGCTCTGCCTATCTAGAGGCAGAGCCAGCTGTACCCGCCCCCCTCCCCGTCTGTTCCGCCAGTCAGCGCTGGCGGATCGGAGCGGGGAGGGGGGAATCCAGCCCCTCCCCTGTCACGGCAGAGAGCCATGACAGGATCGAGAGGTGAGCGAACGCCGGTATGTGTTCGCTCACTTCCCGATTTACTGAGCCGACCTGGGACAGTCTCATTGTCACAGGTCGGCTAGAACTATGAGGTGAGTGAAAAGCCCCTCCCCCTCATAGTTCTCCTTTAAAGGAAAAATGGTGATTCATCCGACTGCGGGGGGCGCGCATAACCATAATATGAAGTCTGTTACAAGAGTTTAGTTCTACACGAGAAGTTATCAGAAACGTCTTCAGTTTCACAGATAGATTGGAGAAATGTTCAGATTATATTACTCAGAGCCGGCTTGGGGAGAATTCACCTCAATGTGGCGCCCAATTTATGTATTTCCAGGTAGAAGGAAAAAAAGCAGATTTCACAGCCAATTATGCGGCATCGCTGTGATCTGTAGAAGACTTGTGTCCGAGGCGATCCCAGTCGCTGGATGATATAGGAAAAGAAGTCGCCCAACGTGGGGCTCGAACCCACGACCCTGAGATTAAGAGTCTCATGCTCTACCGACTGAGCTAGCCGGGCGCTTGTTACAGAGCTCCTCCGGCTCCAACTAGTGGAAGGGTGTCACATGGATATTGTTACATTGTTGGTTTGAGTTACATTAGAAACTCCTTTCACTTCAGAACCCCCCTTCACATCAGAAGCTCCATTCACATCAGAACCCCCCTTCATATACACCCCGGTTGAGAAGGGTTGCTCTAGGGACACAATGCAATGAAAAGGTAAAACAATATTTGGCAGAATTCGCTGAATTTTTCATATAAAAGAAGAACCTCAATATGAAGCCGATATTACAGAGAAAACAAGATGACATAAAAAGATGTCCATTGAAGAGTATCGTCCATCTCACTCTCTATATATCAAACATACCTGGAACTGATTG